GCATTCCTGGAAGAAAGTAAAGCAAGTGCCTTTAAGGACCTTTCTGACCTCAACTCCTGCTATACTCCCCATCAATCATTCTAATTTATCTAACTCAACCTCCTCAAAGTTTCTTAAGCACACGAGGCACACTCCAACTTCAGGGCCTCTGTACTTGCTCTTCTCTCTGCCTAGAATGCTCTTCCCCCAAATATTAGCATGGTTCCCTTTCTCATCTTCTTTAGGTCTCTGCTTAATGCCCCTTCTCAGGGGTGTCCTCAAGCACCCCATATAAAAGTGCACTCCCCCTTTCCCTTATTTTTCTCCAAAGTATCTAATAACATACTTCTGTATTTTACTTATGTATTGTCTCTCTCCCCACATTAGAATGTAAACTTTGCAAAAGCAGGTATTTTTGACTTCAACAGTGTCTAGCTCTTTGGATGTGTTCAAAAAATATTTGCTGAGGGAATAAATAAAATATTTCCACTGCAGCACAAAAATGTCCAATAGAATTTTATGTGATGATAGACATATTCTATATCTGTGCTGACTAATATGGTAGCCACCAGCTACATGCACGTAAAATGTACTTGAATTGTAGCTAGTGAGACTGAGGAAGTAAATTCTGTATTTTCTTGAACTGTTAAATAATTTAAACTTAAATAGCCACATGAGGCTAAGGCTACTATATTTGACAGAGAGCAGTTCTAGCATTATTCCCCAATGACTTAGCTTAACTTTGTTTCTTTACAAAAGAAAAACACTACATTGTGTCTGTCCCTGTACTTTATATTCCCATCTGAAAATATCCCTTTCTCCTCTATAATTCAATTTTAAAATGCAATTACCACTACCACCTGAGTTCCTTCCTTCTCTTCACAGTCAAACTTCTTAAAAGTTAGACACACTTCCTAACACCCACTGACTCTTCATTTTACTGAAGGGTATCTCCTTTTATCTCACAGAAATAACAAATTCAACATCCAAATTAAACTTATCACCTTGGTCCCATTATCCCCTCCCAAATTCTTCTTCCTCCCTCATTAGAGCACAATATCACCATCCACCAGGTTGGGCAAGGTAGAAATCTAGGCATTATGCCTGACCCTGCAAAGTACCTATCCAATCAATATTATCAATAAATCACTAATATTATCAGTAAATCACTATTCTACTTCTTTAAAATCTCAAGTCCATGTACTCCTCTCCATTCTCACTACTCCAGTACTACGGGCCATAAACATTTCTCAAGTAGATAATTTCAGCAACCTCACAATAGGTCTCCTTGCTTCCAATCTTGTTGCTCCTCCAATTCATTTTTTATATTAAAGAGCAACCTTTCTTAATGCAAACCTGATTATGTTATTCCTATGCCAATTCTTCAACAGCTCAACACTGCCCGTAAGATAAAGTCCAAACTCTTTAACATGTCTAACAAGATGCTGCAGGATTTGGCCCTTAACTCTCCAACATCTTTTCTTGCCACGCCTCACCCCAATACTCAAAGCTTCAACCATAGTGAACTTAGTTAAGTTTCTACAATATGCCCAATTCTCACTTCCATGTATTTTAACATATGCTTCCCTCTCTGGAACAACTCACTCCCCACCCCACTCTTCTCCCTGGCTAAATTCCTTCAAATCTCAGTTTAGACATCACATCTTCTAGAAAGCCTTCTATAACTTACCCAAGTTATTGCTGTTTTTATGCACACTGCCAGGGCATCCTGTACTTCCCCCACAAAGTAACAGTTACCACACTTGAAACTGGCTCTCTTCCAGGATGGACTATAAATTTCCATAAAGACAAAGACTTTTTAAAAAACTTATTTCCAGTGACCAGTACAGTACTGGCACAAAATAACTTACGCTCAATAAATCCTACAAGGTGAAAAAGTGACAAGGAAAAGGGTGAGGAAGAAAGAAAGCCATACATGTTCTGTGTGGGCCATTCCCATTCCATCTTCCACTGTTTGTTCTCCTCCTTCAATGTGCTGAACGATTCCAACTAATTTTCTGGAATAATCTGAGATTTCCTCAGTGAAGGTCCGTATGCAATGAGCCATATCTAAAATTGATGCTCGGATCTGGTTAGCTTCTGGTTCCAATACTGAATGCTATAAGATGCAACATAATTATAGAAAAGAACTCACAGTATTGACTAATGATATAAAATGCTACTTAAATGGCTCCTATTAATAAAAAACCATCAGCCGCAAGAGGCTTTTATAACACATTTACAAAAAACACAGCATAAGAAATACTAATTTGCCGTTGGTCCAAAACTATTTACCTTTCACAGAAATAATTTAAAATTAGGAAGTCAATTTATTGCTAAACAAGAATCCAAGAAACCCTCTCTAAAATTTTACCACAAGCATTAGTTCATCAACAGACATAATTATTATCAAAATAACCCAGTGCATTACAAAAACAGGCACACAAAGAAAAGAACTTTTGTTTCATGCTGGAAAGCCATTTTTCAATAAAGAAAGAATCATGAGGACTCTGAAATTTTTGTTAAAATATTCAGAAAATAAATCTCTCATTTCTTTTCACGCTACCAAGCTCAACTCATTCATCATCTAGCTCTTCTTTGATCTCTACTCTTAGCATAAAAAACCAAGTCAGTGAAAATAAATGGTGGGCTGGTAAACTAGGTAGAGTCATCCAGTTTAACTATATTCATACCTTGTGACCTTGGTGTTTTCCATATTCTTTGCAGACACAGCACATGAGTGGGCTAGTTTGACAGCCATCTTCCAAGCAAACAAACTCAATGGCATGCACCTGATGCTGAGAGCACATGGTTTTCTCATGAGGTTTATCAGCTAGAGGCACTCTCCTGTGCTTTGCTAATGTCTTTGTAGAATGGGTAACTTGGGAACACTCTGAGCACAAGTGAGTTGCACATACAGTGCAATATACAGATGCAACGTGAGCTTCATCTTCATCACAACGAATGATGCTCTGATGAACAAAAAAGTAACGTATTAAAACTGAACCCCTTTACCAAACAGAAAATGACTCACAGACATAGAAAACAAACTTATGGTTACCAAAAGGGATACATAGCAAGGAAGGGGGAGGAGAAATAAATTAGGAGTTTGGGATTAACAAATACACACTACTATATATAAAACAGGTAAACAACAAGGACCTACTGTACAGCACAGGGAACTATACTCAATATCTTGTAATACCTATAAAGGAAAAGAATCTGAAAAAGAATATATGTATCATGTATATGAATATATGTATCATGGCTCAGGTGTACAGCAACCAAATCATGTTGCTGTACACTTGAAACTAACATAGCACTAAATTAACTATACTTCAATTAAAAAAATTTTTTTAAACTGAACCCCAATCAGCATAACATGACAAATTTTGAGAGAATGGTTCAAGATGGTCGAGTAGAAGCACATGCGCTCACTCCCTCCTGTGAGAGCACCGGAAACACAACTAACTGCTGAACAATCATCGACAGGAAGACACTGGAGCTCACCAGAGAACATACCCCACATCCAAAGACAAAGGAGAAACTGCAATGAGACAGTAGGAGGGGCGCAATCACAATAAAATCAAATCCCATAACTGCTAGGTGAGCAAATCACAAACTGGAGAACACTTATACCACAGACGTCCACCCACTGGAGTGAAGATTCTCAGCCCCACGTCAGGCTTCCCAACCTGGGGGGCTGGCAATAGGAAGAGTAATCCCCAGAGAACTGGACTTTGAAGGACAGCAGGATTTGACTGCAAGACTTAGACAAGACTGGGGGAAACAGAGGCTCCACTCTTGGAGGGCACACACAAAGTAGTCTGTGCACCAGGACCCAGGGGGAAGGAGCAGTGACCCCACAGGAGACTGAACCAGACCTACCTGCTAGTGTTGGAGGGTCTCCTGCAGAGGCAGGGGGCAGCTGTGGCTCACCTTGAGGACAAGGACACTGGCAGCAGAAGTTCTGGGAAGTACTCATTGGCACAAGCCCTCCCAGAATCCACCATTAGCCCCACCAAAGAGCCTGCAGGCTCCAGTGCTGGGTCGCCTCAGGCCAAACAACCAACAGGGAGGGAACACAGCCCCACCCAGCAGCAGACAAGCAGATTAAAGTTTTACTGAGCTCTGCCCACCAGAGCAACACCGAGCTCTACCCACCACCAGTCCCTCCCATCAGGAAGCTTGCACAAGCCTCTTAGATAGCCTCATCCACCAGAGGGCAGACAGCAGAAGCAAGAAGAACTACAATCCTGCAGCCTGTGGAACAAACACCACATTCACAGAAAGACAGACAAGATGAAAAGGCAGAGGGCTATGTACCAGATGAAGGAACAAGATATAACCCCAGAAAAACAACTAAATGAAGTGGAGATAGACAACCTTCCAGAAAAAGAATTCAGAATAATGAGAGTGAAGATGATCCAGGACCTCGGAAAAAAAAAAAAAAAACGGAGGCAAGGATCAAGAAGATGCAAGAAATGTTTAACAAAGACCTAGAAGAATTAAGGAACAAACAAAAAGAGATGAACAATACAATAACTGAAATGAAAAATACACTAGAAGGAATCAACAGCAGAATAACTGAGGCAGAAGAACAGTTAAGTTGACCTGGAAAAGAAAATGGTGGAAATCACTGCTGCAGAACAGAATAAAGAAAAAAGAATGAAAAGAAATGAAGACAGCCTGAGAGACCTCTGGAACAACATTAAATGCAACAACATTCACATTATAGGGGTTCCAGAAGGAGAACAGAGAGAGAAAGGACCTGAGAAAATATTTGAAGAGATTATAGTTGAAAACTTCCCTAACATGGGAAAGGAAATAGCCACCCAAGTCCAGGAAGCGCAAGGAGTCCCAGGCAGGATAAACCGAAGGAAAAACACACCCAGACACATAGTAATCAAATTGACAAAAATTAAAGACAAAGAAAAATTATTAAAAGCAACAAGGGAAAAATGACAAATAATATATAAGGGAACTCCCTGTAAGGTTAACCACTGATTTATCAGCAGAAACACAGCAAACCAGAAGGGAGTGGTACAATATATTCAAAGTGATGAAAGGAAGGAAGCTGCAACCAAGCATACTCTACCCAGTAAGGATCTCATTCAGATTTGATGGAGAAATCAAAAGCTTTACAGACAAGCAAAAGCTAAGAGAATTCAGCACCACCAAACCAGCTTTACAACAAATGCCAAAGGAACTTCTCTAAGCAGGAAACACAAGAGAAGAAAAGGACCTGCAAAAACAAACCCAAAACAATTAAGAACATAGGAACATACATATCGATAATTACCTTAAAAGTGAATGGATTAAATGCTCCAACCAAAAGACACAGGCTTGCTGAATGGATACAAAAACAAGACCCATATAGATGCTGTCTACAAGAGACCCACTTCAGACCTAGGGACACATACAGACAGAAAGTGAGGGGATGGAAAAAATAGTCCATGCAAATGGAAATAAAAAGAAAGCTGGAGTAGCAATACTCATATCATATAAAATAGACTTTAAAATAAAGGATGTTACAAGAGACAAGGAAGGACACTACATAATGATCAAGGGATCAATTTAAAAGGAAGATATAACAATTATAAACATACACGCACCCAACATAGAAGCACCTCAATACATAAGGCAAATGCTAACAGCTATAAAAGGGGAAATCATCAGTAACACAATAATAGTGGGGGACTTTAACACCTCACTTACACCAATGGACAGACATTCCAGGCAGAAAATTAATAAGGAAACACACGCTTTAAATGACACAATGAACCAGTTAGATTTAATTGATATTTATATGACATTCCAACTGAAAGCAGCAGATTACACTTTCCTCTCAAGTGCACATGGAACATTCTCCAGGATAGATCACATCTTGGGTCACAAATCAAGCCCTGGTAAATATAAGAAACTTGAAATCATATCAAGCATCTTTTCTGACCACAATGCTATGAGATTAGAAATCAATTACAGGAACAAAAATGTGAAAAACACAAACACATGGAGGGTAAACAATACGCTACAAAATAACCAAGAGATCACTGAAGAAATCAAACAGGAAATCAAAAAATACCGAGACAAATGACAACAAAAACATGACAATCTAAAACCCATGGGATGTAGCAAAAGCAGTTCTAAAAGGGAAGTTTATAGCAAAACAATCCTATCTCAAGAAACAAGAAAAATCTCAAATAAACAATCTAAACTTACACCTAAAGGAACCAGAAAAAGAAGAACAAAAAAACCCAAAGTCAGCTGAAGGAAAGAATCATAAACATCTGAGCAGAAATAAATGAAATAGAAACAAAGAAAACAATAGCAAAGATCAATAAAACTAAAAACTGGTTCTTTGAGAAATAAACATAATTGATAAACCTTTAGTTAGACTCATCAAGAAAAAGAGGGAGAGGACTCAAATAAATAAAATTAGAAGTGAAAAAGGAGAAGTTACAACGGACACTGCAGAAACACAAAGCATCGTAAGAGACTACTACAAGCAACTCTATGCCAATAAAATGGACAACCTGGAAGAAATGGACAAATTCTTAGAAAGGCATAACCTTACAAGACTGAACCAGGAAGAAACAGAAAATATGAACAGACCAATCACAATAATGAAATTGAAACTGTGGTTAAAAATCTTCCAACAAACAAAAGTCCAGGACCAGATGGATTCACAGGTGAATTCTATCAAACATTTAGAGAAGAGCTAACACCCATCCTTCTCAAACTCTCCCAAAAAATTGCTGAGGAAGGAACATTCCCAAACTCACTCTATGAGGCCACCATCACCCTGATACCAAAACCAGACAAAGATACTACAATAAAAGAGAATTACAGACCAATATCACTGATGAATACAGATGCAAAAATCCTCAACAAAATACTAGCAAACTGATTCCAACAATACATTAAAATGATCATACACCAAGACCAAGTTAGATTTATCCCAGGGATGCAAGGATTCTTCAATATTCACAAATCAATCATGTGATACAGCATGCTTATTTTTGGTTTTATTTCCATTACTCTAGGAGGTGGGTCAAAAAAGATGAGCAGACCTAAACTTAAAAGCTTTTGCACAGCAAAAGAAACTATAAACGAGACAAAAAGACAACCCTCAGAATGGGAGAAAATATTTGCAAACAAATCAATGGACAAAGGATCAATTTCCAAAATATATAAACAGCTCATGCAGCTCAATATCAAAAAAACAAACAACCCAATCAAAAAATGAGCAGAAGACCTAAACAGTCATTTCTCCAAAGAAGACATACAGATGGCCAAGAGGTACATGAAAAGCTGCTCAACATCACTAATCATTAGAGAAATGCAAACCAAAACTACAATGAGGTATCACCTCACACTGGTTAGAATGGGCATCATCAGAAAAAAGGGAGAAAAGGGAACCCTCTTACACTGCTGGTGGGAATGTAAATCGATACAGCCACTATGGAGAACAGTATGGAGTTTCCCTAAAAACACTAAAAATAGAGTTACCATATGACCCAGCAATCCCAAGCCTGGACATATACCCAGAGAAAATCATAATTCAAAAACACACACGCGGGCTTTCCTGGTGGCATGGTAGTTGAGAATCTACCTGCCGGAGCAGGGGACACAGGTTCAAGCCCTGGTCTGGGAGGATCCCACATGCCGTGGAACAACTAAGCCCATGCGCTACAGCTGCTGAGCCTGTGCTCTAGAGCCTGCGAACCACAAGTACTGAAGCCCACGTGCCTAGAGCCCATGCTCCACGACGAGAGGCCACCGCAATGAGAAGCCCACTTGCTGCAACTAGAGAAGGCCTGCTCTCAGCAGCGAAGACCCAACACAGCCAAATAAATAAATAAATAAAATAATAAATTTTTAAAAATAGCAATTCCTATTTAATAATAATTAAAAAACACACATGAACCCCAATGTTCATTGCAACACTATTTACAATAGCCAGGTCATGGAAGCAACCTAAATGCCCATCGACAGAAGAATGGTTAAAGAAGACGTGGTACATATATACAATGCAAGATTATTCAGCCATAAAAAGGAACGAAATTGGCTCATTTGTAGAGACATGGATGGACCTAAAGACTGTCATACAGAGTGAAATAAGTCAGAAAGAGAAAAACAAATATCGTATACTAACGCATATATATGGAATCTAGAAAAATGGTACAGATGAACGGGTTTGCAGGGCAGAAATTGAGATAAAGATGTAGAGAACAAACGTATGGACACCAAAGGGGGAAAGCAGGGGGTGGGGGGTGTGATGAACTGGGAGATTGGGATTGACATATATACACTAATATGTATAAAGTAGTTAACTAATAAGAACCTGCTGTATAGCACAAGGAACTCCACTTCACTGTACAGTAGAAACACATTGTAAAACAACTATACCCCAATTAAAAGAACAAAAAAAGAAAGAAAATACACGGAAAGACAAAAAAAAATTATTTAGAGAGGTAATTGAGACCTAGGATGAAGGTAGTTTACTCTAGAAAGGGATTCATATTTATTTTTTCATGATTTTATGGTATTATCAATAGTGGACCACCTCAATATGAGTGCAAAAATGGGTATTACTTGGACAATCCAAAGATTCAAACTCTGAATCTAATTCTATGCAATAGCATGTCTGTTTCAACTGGTGTCCTGGCTTATTGTGAATGTCTTCTGCTGGATGTCTCATCTACGTGTGGGTTTGCTATTTGACTTATGCCTCCTCACCACTGAAGGCCATTAAAAAACCCAGACATTTTCCTGAATAGGCTAATGCCCTCAGGGCAAAAGCACATTCCTTGCTCCTGTATCTCAGTGAATTTCCATTTTCCCTTCAGATTTGGCCTGATTTTTTGTTCCTAACTTATCAGGTCTTTAATGCTTTTAAAATAATTTTTAGTGAATTCATTCCACTTTATTTATTTTCAGCAGATGAGACAGTGTCTATAAAACCAAGCCTACCATTACTGAGATAATCTCTTGGAACTTTTCACGACAATGAAATCATCTACTTGTTTGTGTCATCAACTAGGTATAAGCTGCATGAAGGCAAGAACATTGTCTGTTTTCTGCATTTACAGCACTGAGCACAGGACCTGCCTCCCAATAGGTAATTTTAGTATTAATAAAAGTAGCTCCTTGTGTACTTTTAGGATCCTATTTCAATCCTTTACCCTCACCTCAGTGTCAGATTTCTAAAAAATGTAAGTATCACAGGATGTCTCTCTTTTTCTACTGTCTCCTTTACCTCCTTCCCATTCATCTTTATTTCCTTCCTAGAATAGACTTTCCCAGGTCTACGGACTGAACTGTGTTCTTCCAAAATTCATATATTGAAGCCCTAGCCCCCAGTGTTACTGCATTTGGAGATAGGGTCTTTAGGAGGTAATTAGGGTTAAATAAGGTCATAAGGATGTGGTCCTAATCTAGTAGGTGGCATCATAAGAAGAGGAAGAGACAGATCTCCCTCCCTCTCTCCCTGTGCACATGTCCTAAGGAAAGGCCAGGTGAGCACACAGTGAGGTAGCCGTGGCCTACAAGCCAAAAGAAGACGTCTCAGAATGCCAACACCCTGATCTTGGACTTACCAGCCTCCAGAACTGTGACAAGATAAATAAATTTCTGTTGTTCAACCAAAATAAATAAATAAATAACATGCCAAATTTTGAAATATAAAAGCCCATAATCTTTTTTTTAACTGACCAGACTTTATACATAAAAATATACTGGTAATTAAGTACAAAGGTCATTTGCTACTCATTTCTATAGGTAAGTGAGAAGGTATTTCCAAAACTGATTATCAGTATATGCTATGAATTTGAGGTCAAAAATAAAACCATTGTTATAGATTCACAGTCAGTGCAAAGATATCTTCTGCAAAATCCCCTCACTTTACATGCAAGAAACTGACAATAGAGGACAGAAGCCTTTTTTTTTAAGACTGAAAAAACAGACAGTAAATACATCCTCACTGCTTTAAATATTACTTGTCAGCATGATGTATAGAAGAAGAAAAGCACAAATGTTATTTAGATAACCAAGTGAAGCTTTTAAAAACACAGATGCCTAGACTCCAACCTGAGAAACACTTATTTCTCAATAGGTAGAGATGAAGTGTAAGCTGTGTATTTTTTCTAAAGCTCCACAGGTGAGTCCACTGCACTATCCTGGTTGAAAATCACTAATTTAAGAAACAACAACAACAACAAAAACCCTAGGTTACATGTAACCTTTTAAATATTTATAATTTTTATGAATTAGTAAAAAGCATTATGAGTTGTAAATTTTACATGTCAGATATTCAAGAATCTTTGAAAACTTTTCTGCATATAAAAGGCCATAATTAGAAAGGGAAAGATTTGGTATAAATTTTTGCAGAAATAAAAATTAGAAAATATATCAATGATGTCATTCAATATCACACTAAATAAAAAAGTGAACCCAAAGTTAAACAGTTTTGTTTGCAATTATGAGAAATATATACGTGTAAAATTAAAAGTTGTGTCTTCTGTTTTCCAGACCTGATAAATAATTTACAAGACCAACATCAGATAATACTCAATGCTTTCAAAATAAAGATAAAAGATATATCATGGGAAAAAACTGCAAATTTTAGAAAACAGTGCTTCAGTTTGAAATCCATTTCACTGATTCGCTTTATATAAGGAAATCATAATCTAATCTAATAAATAATCTAATAAAAGAGAAGTAAAAAGCAATCTGACATGTTTTCCTTCACACTAAACATGTGGTTTTAAAGTTGATCATCAAAACTATTAACTGCTATTTACTACAACTATTCCTATAATCAGAACAGTCTATGAGCTATGTAGACAATTTTATGTGTTAAAAATGTATTTTAGGGGCTTTCCCTGGTGGTGCAGTGGTTGAGAGTCCCCCTGCTGATGCAGGGGACGCGGGTTTGTGCCCCGGTCCAGGAAGATCCCACATGCCGCAGAGCGGCTGGGCCTGTGAGCCGTGGCCACTGAGCCTGTGCATCCTGAGCCTGTGCTCTGCAGCGGGAGAGGCCACAACAGTGAGAGGCCCACGCACAGGAAAAAAAAAATGTACTTTAATTTGTGTTAATGGTCTTCTAATATTTACTGGATACTTACCTGTCTGGATAAAGAGAGTACATCTATGCACAATTTAACTTTCCATGAAGATATTTAATAGTAATTCCCTCAGGAGCTACTGCTATCTAAAGATAGCATTCTGCCTCTACACTCAAAGGCCCCTTTCATGGAGTTCCTCTTTCTCTCTCTGTGCTTTACTGTTGAATGATTCACTTCTGCATCCTCTGCTTTAATGTAGCTTACACATCCTTCTTATTCATCCATAATCTTCTTATTTTTTCTCTTTACCCTTAGATAGAATTAATGATGATAAGGAAACAAGTTTATACACTAAACATAATTTGGGTACAGCATTTTCAGAGAATTCAAATTTCAGTTTTACTTTTGTTTGGTTGGGGATTTTGTTGCCTTCAGAACTATAATGTAATGAAAAGTTGTGTTTCTGGAATCCTACCTGCTGGGGTAAATAAGGTAATATTGTGTATCTAATAGTAAATATTTTAAACTAAAAGAAAAAATTCATGCTCATAACAAAAATTTCAACAAGTTCAATCAGTACCTCTCCAGATATCCCAATGGCTTCTTCTGCAGCTCCACACTGACCAATATGTCCATTCTGTAGTCGTTCCAAAAGCTCCAATAAAGCAAAATTTTTTTTCAATCCCCAGACACCTGAATCTCCTAGAATATAAAAATAAAAACTAAATCTAACAAAATGGAATATTATTTATTTTACCTCAAATCTCAATAGTAATTTCTACGTCTCATAGTTCAATCATTAATAATGTGTAAATTTTAAAAATTCAAAATTTCTCCATTTTCTGTTAATGCTATAACAGTTGTCTTAATATTCTCTTTAAAATAGAGAACTTGTTAGCATTCTAAGTAGAAACATATTTTAAAGTTCTATTATTTTTCTATAATTTAACTTTATAAATCCTATTTTGTCACTGACTTTTACTACATATACTAAAACAAGTGCTTTAAATATTTTTAACAGCAACCTACAGTAAGAAATACATTTCACATTGCAACCCAGGATAACACACACACACACACACACACACACACACACACACACACACACCTGAAACAAAAGATTAACACAGCAATATTCACCCTCACAGTTTGCGACACACTATGATGGTTTTTGTTCTATTTCTTTTTTAAAAATCCTATTCACAACCAATTAAATTGATTTTATGACCACAAATAAGCTATGACTCATGTTTGAAAACCACTGTATGAAAGATACACTTAACCAAAAATAAGTCCATCTCTAAGTAAACTGAAACTAGAGCAGCTAAAGATAATATTTTCCCCAACCCTCATCTAACCTAGAACCTAATAGCAGTCAGTGAACATATAAACTCTTTCTCACACAAATACACAGAGCTTCACACTAATGCATGACAATAGTCCCTTTTAGGTAGATAAGAATCTAGGCACATTTGAATAAGGACCAATGCTTCTTTTCCCCAGAACTGACCATAAAAGGCCAGGTGAGCATTCATATGTGTACGCATGTGTGCCTACACAATATGGGCATGTGCATACACACATGCACATGCGCATACACACACACAAACTCTTCCTAAGCCTATAAATAAGAGCCAGATCCTTCAGCAATTAGAAGGAATATCTGTCTGTTATGATGAGCTTCTATACAACAAATACCATCTGACACAAAGCTGCCACCTAATACATATTCACTGAAAAAGCAAATAAATAAAAGGATGATGGGGTCATTGGCTACATGGCTCCCCTTCCTCTTGGCCCCTCTTTTCTAAGGAAAGAAGGGAGGGAAGAAAAAAAGGAAGGTGAAGGGAAGGGATGAGAAGGGAAGGGCCTCAGCCTTTTCACCCCACAGGGTTTCCTCAACTGTTTTAATTTTTCACACATATTCTACCTCAAGCTGAGTTCTATCCACTTTATTTATAAAAGATTAAGAAGTATACTGAGTCCTTTATTTAAAAGTATTACCTTGACGATATCCAAATACTGTCATTATATAGTAAACACATACACATAAACTCCTAGCAGTATCTAGGCAGTATCTATCTACTGCCTATTATATCACTTAATACTCCTGTAACTGTCAAAATAACTCTAAAATCTCAATGGCTTAAAGCAACAAAGATTTGCTTTTTGCTCACGCAGCATCTCAAGGGTTGGTGAAGACAAGAGAGGCTCTGTTCCCTACTGTCCACGATCAGGGGGCACAGGCCACTGAGGTTCCAACCCCCGGACCACCTCACTACAGCAGGGAGAGGGATTTACTGCAAACCATCATAAATCCATTCTTAACAGCTTCTACCTGGAAGTTAACACTTCACTTCTACTCATAATTTCACTGGTTAAAGGGAAATCACACAGCTCTTCCTACCTAATCATAAGAGGGCAGGGAAGTGTAATTTTACCATGAGAATGGAAGAGAAGAACCATAAGTAATGCTGACCAGTATTAATAACCATGACAAACAAATACTATGATACTATTCTTTTTTTGGGGGGGGCAAAATAATACCTTTATTACCTATGATTGGCAGATATTTTATAAATAAAATATATTTATTCTCTCCATGTTTGAAAAGAATTTCAAAACAACAAAATGATTTTATACACCATACAATTCAGGGTAGGGTTGGGCTCAGGGGACCACTTCATTGTTCACAGGGTGGACAGAAACCTGTCTCCAAACATTTTTTGAGCTAGTTTGACTTCAGCTCTGAGTCCTGGTCCCAGTCTTGAAACCACAAAAGGTGGTTTCAAGGGCCTGGTGTGAGGGGAGGGTGAGGGCCTCTCCCAATCCAGCATTTCCCTGTGCTCACTCTAGGTTTCCACTCAATAGCCCAGGGGCTGCCTTACAGCAGCTGCAGCTGTAAATTTGATGGAAGAACATTCTTCTAGTAGCTTCCAGATTCTAAAGACAGGGCCCAGTAGGACCCTCGATGGGCCCCAGCAGATCCCAGGATGCCAGGAGCTAAAAGCGCCTGATTAATGAGATGGCCCAGCTAATGGTCCCAGCTCCTGGAAAGTATGGTCAGGTTGTTTTACAAGGACAGTCCTTCACTTGAACAGATGTACCCGTGGAATCACACTGGCATTGGGCAGATAGATTCCATTTTGTTCAGGCCAGAACCCCAAGTCCCAAACCCAGTGTTCAACATACATAAAGCAGACACCAATCTTGAAGCTGAAGAACACATGGTTGACCTCAAAGCGGACACTGTTTCTACCTTGCCGGATGGAAACAGGCATAGGAGAGAAATTATGCAGCACGGTCTGGTTGGCATCTAGAAGTTGGACAGTTAGCTCATATACACAGGGCGTGCCTTGTTGGTCTGTCCACCCGGCAGAGACACAAATCTCAATCTTTCCACTATACAGGAGTTCTGGCCACAGACCCTCCTCCTCCAGGTCCAACATTTCCTTCTTGTGACACCACCTTGTAGGCAGACAGAAAGGAGGCCTAGGAAGTGGCCCCAGGCCTGACCTCCAAGTTTTCCTCCTCTCCCCAGCCGTCTCCACTGCTCTGCATCATCCAGTCCCGGAAGCCTTCTAGGCCCTTGGGGTTCTGGAGGAGGTTGCATCCTATCGATCTTCGCTCGCAGGAGCAGCCCAGGATGCAGGGCCTGAGGTCGTCGGCAGAGGGAAGGTAGGTGTGGAGGACAGGTGACAGGGCAGCACGGTCTTGGGCCAGGATGCTCAGCCTCAGGTCCTGGCAGTCTACCAGGTCACGCCAGCACTGGCACACCCGGTGGCAGTGCCCGAGCAGCATGTGTGGAGGCACGTGGCTCAGCACCATCTTGAGCAGCTCCATGGGCAGTTGGCCCAGACCCAGCGCCTCCTCGGGTTCGGGGTCCGGAGCCGGGACCCTGGCGGGCAGGCCCCTGGAGGCTGAGGTGCACGTGCGTGGTCTCCTTGCCAGGTCCGGCTGCCACTGTGGGCATCTCAACCATTGCTCCTCCCTGGTGGGCCATCACCTTGCCTCATGTGCTCCCTTCTCCACCTCCGCCCTTTTTATTCCCCGCCCCTCCCTTCCTAATACCCAGCCCCAGACCCCTGCCCACCACCCCCACCCCAGCCCCATCCTCTCTCTGACTCTGATACTATTCTTGAACTAGAAAAGAATTCTAATTCTGATTCTCTCATATTATCAATAGTTTGGGGGGTTGGGGCGTGGCGGGCGGGAGATTGGGAGTTTGGGATTAGCAGATGCAAACTATTATATATAGAATGGATAAACAAGGTGCTACTATACAGCACAGGGAACTATATTCAATATCTTGTAATAAACCATAATGGAAAAAAAACCCAGTAATTTGCTTCTTTAGAAGCAAAAAATGATCTTTTTTCTTCTTTATATTTTTTAATAGATTTTTCAAATTTTCTGCAATGTATATATACATTATTTCTATAATACATTTAAAAATAGATTAAAAAACAAAGACAGCAAACTATATCAAGGGTCATTAACACATATTCCATAGGCTGGAATCATGGCAAAAATCTAACCTACAAGCTATAGTAATTACCTATAATAATTACAACCTATATCCAAGGCAGAGTTGTTGGTTTGCTTGTTTTTTCTAATGTTGATATGATAGCAATCATGTTTCATTTCAACCTAGGATACGACTAACCATTACCTGTCATAAATTCCTAGTTTATCACAGTGAGGATGACAACACAGTGAGGATGATGTGGTATTTATGTAGAGAAGATAAGTGCCCTTCAAAATGGTGGAAGGGTCCGTCCTATGTTTGCAAAATATTACTACTTCTATATAGTTTTATAGAAAGAAGATGGTATGATATATATAAATTACAGAATAAAAGGCCAAATAAAAGAATGTCAAAATAGACATCTCCCCCCTCCACTTTATTATCTCTTGGCTAACAGTAAGTTAATGCTAACACTTTCCTATATTAGTTTTCTGGCAAATGGGCATACTACTTACCTAAATCAAGGACTACCAAAACCTTAAGAAACCCATTCTTTCCTTACAAGAAAATATTTTACAACTGTGCTTCTTAGCATTTTAAAGCTTTTCAGTCTAAAAATCTGGGTACTCTTGCTTCCTTTTTTGGTGGTTAAATTATTTTAAATATGTGTAAAATAATTTATGTGTTCCACTTGACATATAGTATGAATACATTAAAAGTCTTAAAACAATTAGTGCTACTGACCTGAAAAAAATGGACAACCTTAAACTATTACTTTTGGAGAAATTCGATCATTAAAAAGAATAAACATAGAATTTATGGTTGTAAAATAACTGTTCAAATGTTAATGTTATTTCCAAATCTCGTATCCCACAGTAATTAATTCATTTTGAAAAATATAAAGTGAAGTTTTAAAAGTATGTAGGGGGACTTCCCTGGTGGTGCAGTGGTTAAGAATCCGCCCGCCAATGCAGGGAACATGGGTTCGTTCCCTGGTCCAGGAAGATCCCACATGCCACGGAGCAACTAAGCCCATGCGCTACAACTACTGAGCCTGTGCTTCACAGCCCACGAGACAGAACTACTGAGCCCGCATGCCCCAACTGCTGAAGCCCACGCGCTTAGAGCCTGTGCTCTACAACGAGAAGCCCACGCACAAGGAAGAGTAGCCCCCTGCTCACCTCAACTAGAGAAAGTTCACGCACAGCAACGAAGACCCAACGTAGCCAAAAATAAATAAATAAATTTATTAAAGAAAGAAAGAAAGAAAATAAAGTACGCAGGACACTGAAAAAAAATCCACCAGACCTTTAAATTCGTTTAAACAGAAAACAAGGAGTAGTTAGTAGTTATCACTAGTTGCAAACACTTCTGCCTCAGACATCAGTAAATAACATGCTGAAACTCAAATTACTTACCTGTATTTTCATTATTGGCCTATTCATGTCTAAGATAAATGCTGTTTTGCAGGTAAATGAAAAAGGTTAGTATGTTTTTCTCAGGTGTCTTAAAACTACTGATCTATAAGTACTAAATATAAATATTTCAGAAGATGAAATAAAATTAGTACCTAAGAGTGGGCTAGTTTATAGCTTCAAGACTACTGGCTTTAATATAATCTGAAACCTCCTTGGAATTTTATAATTTTTCTTTTCTTTTTTTTTTTGGCTGCACCACAGAATGCTCCCCAACTAGGGATCAAACCCGTGGCCCCTGCAGTAGAAGCCCAGAGTCCTAACCACTGGACTGCCAGGGAATTCCCAGAATTTTATGATTTTTAAAACCAAGGAGAAAAAAATTGTTTTCTATATCTGTATTATGTAAACAATTTTATATATATTTTTTCCTACCTAGGTCTGTTACTTGTCGATCAAAAGGGCAACGGATTGCTCTTCCATGAAGAGGCAGCCGAGTGAGACAGTCATGACAGACTGTGTGGCCACAAAGCAGAAGGCGAGGAACTTTGTCTCCTTGCAAAGAAAAGACATCTTCACAAACTCCACACTCCAGCACCTAATATTTGGAAAGGACACATGTGCTCTTTAAATGACTTTAAAAGCATAAATATTTTAGGCTAAAAAGAAAAACCTGATCTAATTTAATGAATCAATCTTGTTAAATTACTTTATTTCTCCATGAAAAAAACTGTCTAGGTATAAAATCTTAAATCACCTTTTATCCTTTCACCTGACAGATCTTACCACAATTATATCATAGTGAAATCTTCTTGAAAGGGTGTTAGGGATCAAGATAACGTTGTAAACTAACATCTTTAGCTTTTGAAAATTATGACATGATTTATTACATCTGAATCCGTAACCATATATAACTCTACCAAAGTTGGGTTCTTAAACAATTTCTCTGCAATTACCTAACCCTCAAAAAACCATCATTAATTTGGACAAAAATAATTTGAAATATGTGCTAGGATGACAGCTTACCTTGTAAATGATAAAGAACTTGTTAAGAAAAGACTATAAGTAATTTTCAAGTGTCTTATACTATTCATTTACATCATACAATGTAAAGAATGCAATTAGACTTAAATTTCAATTCCTTGGTCTCGATTAATAAATTTGGCCCTGGGTTAGAAAATAGAAAATATTTTGTTTATCTAGTTCCAATTACAAATACATGACTTGCTCAAGGCCACGTAGTCAGTCAAAAGAAAGGTGACAAATCAACTATACTTCAATTAAAAAAAAAGAAAGAAAGGTGACAAGAATCAGCATATTCTGATTCCCCGGCCCATCAGTTTGTTTTATAATTAGTCAACAAACTATATTTATATCAATGAAGGTACTTTTATTTCTTAATATACCTGAAGTGTTTCACAATTTAATTAATTTTTTAAAAATACCCACACTGGGGCTTCCCTGGTGGTGCAGTGGTTGACAGTCCGCCTGCTGATGCAGGGGACACGGGTTCGTGCCCCGGTCTGGGAAGATCCCACATGCCGCGGAGCGGCTAGGCCTGTGAGCCATGGCCACTGAGCCTGCACGTCCAGAGCCTGTGCTCCGCAACAGGAGAGGCCACAACAGTGAGAGGCCCACGTACCGCAAAATAAATAAATAAATAAATAAATAAATAAAATAATAATTAAAAATAAAAATACCTACACTGAACTGTTTGATTGTACCCCAAACTCGGTGCCCACCATCCACGACCTACTACAATCTGGCCCCTGTCCTATTGCTTCTCTTCCCTTCCAAACTCTATTCTCAAACTATATCGAACAATTTGTAGTTCACAGCACATAACAAACTGTTTTTGCCTCTTTCTTTATGCTAATGCTAAAGACACAGCTAAATAGACATTTTCCTAGTGGATTCTTTTTTTACATTAATAAACCAACAAATTCATAAATGAACACACTATCCTTTGGGCCCCCATGTACCATGGATAAGTGTCAATCTTAACACCCAAAACACTTTAATACTTTTATTGGCGTTCCAGCCTGTCTTTCCCTGTCAGACGAAAAAGCCCTCAGGAACAGGGTATTCCAAATACCAAGCACCTACGTGCTTATATTAATGAAGTCCAACAAAATAAAATTTTTAAAACAGCCAACCACCATCCCCCAACAAATACATAATACAAGGTAAAAAACAAAAAACCCAGAGTGGAAGTCAAACTTAATCCATTAAAATTTTGATCTTAACTCCACAATTAAACTGGAGTCAGTGCTTAAAATGTAAACATCTTTCACTGTAAATAAACTGATAATTCATAACTGGCTCACATCTCAGTACAGTTCAAAAGAAGCTGAAGTGTAACACATAGTTCACAGAACAGGAAAAGAAAACAGCTTGTTAATTTTATGAAAAGGTGTCCAATCTCACCCAAAACATTTTGAAGTCAGTTGAAGCTATCCCAATATACTTTTTTTCAGATTAGATTTTTAAAAGTTGATAACACTTTGTGCTAGTGGAAGTGTGGGAGAATAAATTGCTGGTTGCTGTGAAATGTTTATTGATTGATATAGCCTCTATGGAAGGCAATTTGGCAATACCTATCAAAAGTTTGAATAGCTTAGTAATTCTACCTCCAGGTTTATCCTACAAATATCACATGTGTGAAAAGATCTATATGCTATTCCTTAGAGCACCTTTTGCATTAGCAAAAGATTAGAAACAAAGTAAATATATATGGAAAATAAATTATGACACATTCATATACTGCAAAACTGTGCAATCTAGTGAGGAAAAGTTAGGAAATTTTTTTATGTACAAACAGAATGATTTCATATCAGCAAAGCAAAGTGAAAAATGACATAGAATATTTAACTTTTGCATAAAGGAGAGGAAATAAAGAGAGCATATATTTTCATATATATTGTTTTACAAGCATACTATCTTTCTGGCAAGATACACAGGAAACATTACATTGGAATTGTAGTTCTCTTTGAGGAAGGGAAACAGCTGGGGAATAGCTACACATAAATCATATATATATATATATATATATATATATATATACACACACACACACACACACACATACACACACACACAATACACACACTTCAAATTATCCTGTATTTTTTAAAAAGGCAGGAAAAAAGTTTCACTTAAATATCCTCCCTTCAAAAAAAAAGAACAAAAGAAAAAAAAAATCCTCACTTAAATAACAAATTCAACTAAATACAGAAAAGATATTCAAAACAGAATTAGATATTATAAATGCAACATTTTAAATAAATGTCCTCACTATAGTGACACCATATTAAACTTATATGACAATAAACTCCAAAGAACCAAATTAAAATTTTACTGTTTTCATTCATCTCTAACCCCATCATTACACAAGATAAAAGAACTTACTCATGTTGAGACCATAGGTTTTTTCCAAAAAGCACTAGTAAAATCCCACTGATTAGTAAACCAAACATAATTCCAAAATCAGTTATTAGACTATTTTGCATCAACTCAGCAAATAAGAGTAAGAAATTTTTTCTTCAGTATTTATGAATAGGAATTGTGGCTAACAGCATAAGAAATTAAGTCCTAGATAGGAAAAAGCTCTTTATTTTACAAACTTCACAATATGCCAAACAGGGCTTCGAACTTATTACGTGTAAATCAAATTTTAATACACCAGGCCATAGTATCAAAGGACTAAGAAAGCTCACTAGTCTTTTGTGAATGTATAGACCAATTTTGGTCTTTTTTTCCTAATGATAAAAACCCTGTCATCATCTACTTGTTCATTAAGCAAGAAGCCATTTTACATATATATATATATATATTACCATTATATACTTCAACTTTTACCTTCCAACGAACACGTCTTGCTTTCATCTGTGAGATTTTTTAAAATTTATGCCACTGTATTTCTTACAAATGACAGCATGAGGATCTTGCCAAAAAGGACTATCCTACTGCACATCTCAGTCATAATTTACACATAAAAATGAAGATTAACAAAATGAGCCTCTAATTTATCAAACTCTGTGCTATAATAAACTGGAGTTACATCAGGCTTTGGTATATTTTTCAGATTTTAAGGCAAACAGGGTAACAAAAGTAGATACAGCAATAATATCCATTCCAATTACTTCTTAATTGAAGTTAATTCACAAAATAACCTTCAGGTATTCTCTACATAGAAAAAGCACAATTCAATAAATAAAATCTCAACCATACAACAAGCTGAATAATAAGAGGGCTCCTCTGCATTTCAGATATGCTATGTACCTTCAGAATAACTTCATTAATATATAAAGGTCAGATAAATCAACCACCACCAATACTGATTGATAATACAGTTGTAAGCAGAAATGTATCATTTGTTGTCACATAAAACCAACATTAGGTGAAAAACCATAGGTGTCTATTACTCAAGATCTTAAAAGAACTTAAGATATCTGGTCCAGTGGTTCCGAATCCTAGATGCACATTAAAGTCACTCTGGGACTGCAAAAAATACACTGATGTCAACTTACTCAGAAATGTGGGATTAAGTATTTTTCTTTTTTTTTTTTTTAAGTCCTCAGTGATTCTAATATGTAGCCAGGAATAAGAATTGCCAATATCTCAGATTACAGATGATCCCAAAGGTTATTCTACAAACCTTTAAGATCAGTTCTCCCTTTCAGATCTATCTACCTATGGAAAAGTGAATTCTACATACGTCATCTGAATTTTTAGTAAACCTACTTTACAGCATTTACACATGTTAGAATTTCCAACTTCAAGCACAGGGTAATTCATATCCCCCAGCGTTAATGGGGCTGTTGGAGACTTCTCAAAAGTGTTGACAGACCGTACTCCCAAAAGAGGAGGCGGGTCAACCAATAATAGAGGTCTGATTACAGAAGTAGTACGATAGTGAAAAGCATACTTTACGGCCAGTCAACTCTGGTTCTGCTACACAGTATTAACTGAAACCTGAGTCTCCTCACCTGTAAAACTGTAATCAACACTTACCTCCTAAACAGATATTAACGAGCTAAAATACCTAACTTTGTACCTGGCGATAATAACGGCTCAATTTCCTAAAAATAAGCTAATTAATGCCTGTTGGGCTTAACTAAAAACAGAGGGCCTGGGGAAAGACCAGCCCAGGTCACTCTCCGAGGCCCATTAGCTCCTTTTCACAAACGTCCCCGTTGGCGACTCCAAGCAGAGGACTAGCGTGACCAGAAGACCAGGTAACCTCAGGTCTGCTGGGATAAAGGTCCGGAGGTGAGGGATAGGCTTATAAAGCCGAGAGGGGCCGGAGGCCGCGCATCCCGCCCAAAAAATGCCAGGGCTGCGGTGCTGCCGCCAGATCTCCGGGATAAACAGAATGGAGGCCGACGGTGGAGAACAGAGCACGCAAGTTCCCTCACCTTCACCACGGCCGTCCCCCGGCTGCCCTGACGACCACTGTCTAGTCCCGCTCCAGGCTTGTTTACAAGCAGAGCAGCCATCCTAGGAGGAGCAGCTCCGCAGAAGTAGCCCTCAAGGCCTTCACCTGATGGGCGGGGTAGAGCCACCTACCCAGAAGCCTCGGCGCTCGCCGCTGGCGCACAGGCGCAATACCACGCGGGGCGCTGCTGGGACGGTCTCTTCGAGCATCCTCCCGCCAGCCGCTAGGTGTTTGGGTTCGCAGGCCTGTGCGTGGGCACTTTGTTATTTTTTTTATTGTTATTATTGAGGAGTCTGAAATAGATGGAAGGAGTAAAATTAAGAGAAAAAAGAAGATAAAACAAAAGTAAAGTTTTGGGATGAAATTCCCGCTCCAGAAACTACCTCTTCTCCCCAGCTGCAAAACGGACGAGGCGAGAGGGGACTACATGTCCCTGCATGCCCTGCGGCTTTTGAACTACAAGTCCCAGCATGCCACATCTCTATCGTTTACTGCAATGTAGGTATTTGGGAGGCCGTGAATTGTCACCGAGGAGTGGTTTCTTGAAGTCGCGGTGTGTGATTATTACTGGAAAATAGAGAAGTATTTTATGTATAGGTCTCTAAGAGGCAAGAGATGGCTTTGGTAAAAAAACCGTTGGGTTCTTAAAGGACTTGGTAAGAAGAGAATTTAAGGCACCACCGGCACACTTGGGAGTGTGTTTGACGCCCTGTCTTCCCGAACGTACGCTTTTCTGTCTTCTTCCGAGCTGATTGACCCTCTTCAGCCTCCGTAGGCAGTGGGTCCAAAGTGCCGGTCAAAATGGAAGTGAATCCCCCCAAACAGGAGCACCTGCTGGCCCTGAAAGGTAAACTTTTGCGAACCCGAGTCCCTTTAATCTGTTTTCTCCCTTTCTCTCACTAGTTCTCGAAGCCTTTGACACTTAGACCTGGCCTCTGGGGTATAGGCCTCGTCCTTCTTAAACACTGTCAATGCTCGCCCTCCTGCTTGGTTCCTTGGCGCCGAGCGAAAGGAAACTATTTCTCCTCTTTGCTTTTTAGGTTTGAGAGCCCCCGTTAGAATGGAATAGATAACCTGGTAAATTACTTACTCTGTTACATGCTGCTCAGATTTTAGCCGCAGATGCTGACGTCCCCACCCTACCCGGGGAGAGCCTTGTGAACCGAGATGATTAACAGCGGGTATATAAAGTGGTTTTTCCTTCTGTCTCTTGTCTCTTCATGCGGCAACGACAAAGTTACCAGGCTTCAGCTTAATCTGTGAAATTAGTCTAGTATTGTGCCAAGGATTTAGAAGTACATAGTACTACAACGTATAATTTAGGTTTGTTAAAACTCACTGTTTACGTCAAAGTATTGTGTATAGGGGGTAATTCATGTCGGTTTGCATACACAGCAAACAATTTTGAGTAAGTTTGATGATTTAATTGGATCATTATTTAGGGGAAATGAGCAGGGCATTCTTTTTCTGGAATTCCTGTTGTTTTGTGTTTCCTTTTATTTGAAACGCTTTCAGCTTTATTTCATCGGTTTTCTACTACCACAAATGCACTTATTTCTTGGATGCCCTACTCAGTGGTTACCAATATCTTCTTGGACTGAGCTGAAAAGATGCTCGATAGACATGTGAACTCAAGTGAATAGCACTTAACCTTCCTTGTGGGATCCATTTTGAGGGACCCTTATCCCCTTATTATGTTTTAAGCATCAAACCTTCCAGAAGCTCAGTTTCATTTGAAGCATAAAATCATATACTGATAGTTGGGGTTATCAGAACTGTCTCTGACTGTAGAACTAAGAAACTAAAATATTAACTAATGTAATAGCAATAGGACCTGTGAGCTTAGCCTGGACTGAAATGGCTTATTCCTGAAGAAAGAAGAGAAATTGTTATGTTCTTTATCTCAGACTCATATGTAGTATGTGAAATATATATTACTTAATTCTCAGAAGTTAAACTTTTTCCAGATCGCACAGCTAGTAAGTGATTGAGGTAATATTTCAACACAAGGCCTTCATCTTTCCAAGACTCCATGTTGCCTCCTAATGAAGGAAAGAGCATTTTCAGATATCATTCCATTAGTGGTTTGATGGAAATTTAGAGCAGTTCTGTTAGCCGCTAGGTATCATTTTTTACAAATTGGAAGCTATTAAATACAGTTAAATTCCAGTGATGTGGAAGCTAACTGCCGTAGTCCTTTTAGGCTGCTACAGTAGTCTTTCCCAGGTATCTTCTATTTTCCAAAACAGAAGGTTCCTGGAGAAGAGTATTTTAGCAAAACCTAACAGGACAAGTGCTTTGAAATTCAGTGTTAGTTTCAGCTTTCTTAAAGCTCTTTGGCCCCATTCTTCTCCACTGTTCTAGTTATCCAAGAATTTTCACAAGTTTTAATTTTACCTATGTTGGATGCCAAATATATCAATTTGTCTTGTCATATAAGTTTACTTTCATATGCACGTAAAGTATTAAGGAGCTCTCACAACATCAGTGTCCCTGGAATACAACACTGAGTGAGTTCAGACAACAATGAAAGAATTCTCAGTGGCATGTCTTAAAATGTGAAAATGTAAGGAAAAGGGAAGAAAAAAATAAAAACATTAATTCTGGAAAGAATATGCTACGTATATTTAGATCCATATTAAAATTATGGATGTTAAGGATCACAGTCATTTATGAATTTGAGTTGCCAAATCTGTCAGTGGACATTAACAGTAAGGAAAAGAATTATTATGAGATTGGTTACTTCTTTTGACTTTCAGAGTCAGTGGTTAAATGAGTATTGTGACATCATGCCAAGGACTGTGAAATATCATCAGAGTCATCCCGGCAATGGGAGAACCCCCGTCAAGTAGTTCTCTAATGATTTTTGGAAGAAGGGATTTGACCTCTTGTTTTTTTCTCTGGTAGCTAGGATTTGAAAGAGCCTGCATTATGGCTCAGGAAACTTTGGGCCTGATTAGGAAACCTAACTTGCAGATCCTGGTAGGCTCCATTCTTGAGCCTGTGTACTGTATGCTGGAACTTATTATTGATGACTTAATTTGGGGCAACTTGAAGACGTCTGTGTTCTAAGAGGAAAAAAAGTAAGGCTCTAGTCTTCTTGTTCATCCTCCAAATTGGAATTCAGAAGCCATGCTACTAAGGTTTTCACACTGCTTAAGTGCCTCATTTATACAAATGAGACTTCGTCAGGAAACCAGTTTCTAGCATGGTTAAAATGCAAAGTTAAACCATTTTCATGTTTTAAGTATTTACTACTGAGAATGAAATAAAACATTAAGTATTCTGTCTATATACTTGTTTGGTAGAATTCGTGTAATTTTAAAGTATAAAATGATCCATTTTCTTCAAAAAGATTAAAAATTACAATGATTTTCATTGTCCTCAATTCACTTCTCAAATTTTTTAGTATTATTACATTTTTGTTCATTATCTTCATATGAATCTAGTATTTTAAAAATCACTAATTTACTTTTTGTTTCTGCTATAGTCTTAAGATTATTATTACCTAACATATTAATATCAATACTTCCAAATCCATTATATCTCTTCAGTTAAACATGTTGACTACTAGCAGTTTTAGGCTGAAAGGATATGATAGGGCATCTAATCCAGATCCCTTATTTTGGTAAGAGAAAGGATTTCCAGTTTTGTGGATTACATTCACATTTACCAATAGCACTTTGGTAAAATATCATATTGGAATTGGTTTGTTTTTTTCTTTTTTCCCTGCCTATCTGTATATAGGCTATCCCTACCATATCTTATTCTTTGCAATACTTCCACTTTAGGTCCTGTTTCCCTCTGATTTGGAAAGAGAGAGAGTCTTGTAATTATAAATTGCATTCTAGCTCTGAGGAGCTCAGCTAAGAAATATTCTCTTCATTAAGAGTAACTGGATTACTGCAGAATGACTACAGAAGTAATATTACATTATCGACCATATGTGAGTGAAACCACACAACTGCCAAAAATTGCAGAGAAAGCAATTCAAGACTTTCCTACACGTCCACTATCAAGATTTATTCCTTGGTTTCCGCATGATGGGTCCAGACTTCCACTCAAACCTAAAAGATTACCACCTGTGATTTCTGAAGAGGCAACTGAAGATGTAAAACAGTACTTAACCATTTCAGAACATGATATTAAATTGCAGAGTTATGATTGCACAGTAGATCTACTGGAGTTTCAACCTAATTTGAAAAAAAAGCACTTAATCCGATCACACACACTGAATGAACAGACTAATTCTGGAAGTCTGGATAAACAATCAGAAAAAGGAAAACGGCACAAGAAGAGGTCTTGGAGTGTTTCACTCCCCAGCAGTAATTGTACTGAAAGTATTTTTCCTTTGTCTGAAAAATTGCAAGATAGTTTAAAGGCACTAAATTTGCACTCATTTTATAGAGCAAGATGGACAATAGAGCACACTATTTGTAACAACCAAACTCTGGAAGACATTTGGGAAAAACTCAATCGAATTATCAGGTGCAATGAACTTCCGTCTTGTAATGCTACAATTCAGAGACATTTAGGCCAGATATGGGTGTTCTGTGATGTTATGTACTGTGAATATGTGGGAAGTCTTCTTAAAGGAAGATTAGCTCTTACTGGGAAGATTAACTTATTTGTGCATAAATATGGTCTTATTTTTAGTATGTAATGAATTCCACTAATTGTCAAAAAGAAAAATATTCTGAATGAACTGAGTAGGAACTGAAACAGATGAATAAATTTTTAATTGTGTGGTAATATATGTACAGTTTGTATCCCAGATATAAATATCAGGTGAATTCCTAGGCTTGTCACTTAAGTCAGGAACTTTCTGCGTTCTACTTTGAGCAGCCTTCTTTTAAATGAATTGTGATAAATTATTATTTTTACTGAATTTAAAGGTAAAATGTTCTGTTCCTTTTGTTCTGTTACTTTTCCAATGGTTGAATTAGATATTCCTATGAATTACAGTGACTAGTTTGGATTTTGGTAAATCCCCAAAATCTAATTTTACAGTATTTTTTCTTTACTCACCTAAAGTGTAATGATTTTTTTAAAAATAAAACTAAAACCAGTTCTGTTGGGAATGGTATTCAAGTGCCATGAATGTGGTATTCAAGTTGAGAGACCAGCCCAGATTCTGCCGATATTTCCAAAGATATGTAATAGACAATAGTTGATGTGTTGTTCTGAAACAAAAGTATAAAATGTATAATTTGTCTAAGACCATAATAATCTGTAACGCAATAAGCTCTTTTGAAGTAAAGTATCAAATATGAGTAAGAGATCAAGTTATTCTTTATTTAATACAGATAATTCAATCTTAATGACTGTTATTGCTGATTACTAATGCTCTGGTTCTTGGAGTCATGGGTTTCCCATAGCAAAATGTTGTAAAATGGGTTTACACATCATTTTATAAAAATATTCAAAGTGATTATATAATAAAAGTTTTATTTAAAAGTATATTTATTTAACAAATTTGAATGTATACCATGAGCTAGGTACTAGAGTAAAGTAGGGAAGGAGACAAACATGGATCCTGCCCTCGCAGAGCTAACATAGAGTCACTATTCTTAAGTAGTTAAACTACATCCCTGAAAAAAAACCTGTAAGACTGTACTCATTAGGAAGGCAGAAACACATTTGCCTTGTGGCACAGTGCCTGGCATGGTAGGAGCTCAATACTACATGGTAAATGTGCCCTTTGGGGGGTTTCTCATAGCCTGAGCTGGCTGAGGTTCCTTAAAACATAAGGAGTCTACCAATTTTTTTTTTTTTTTTTTTTTTT